ACAGAAGGACAGAAGCTAAAGGAAAGGAGAGAATGCACCCCGGAAGGTGGGTAAGACAAGTACCTCGGTAGGTGCGAGTGGTGGGGGAGAAGCCAGCAGCCTCCATATCCGCCAACAGCTGGAGCGCATAGTGTGTCTGGCTGCAGAGGGACATGGCTTGGATGGCAAGGCCGAAGGTGGCAGAGTCAGGCGTCACCCCCTCATGCCTCATCTGCTGCAGCGCCCACTGCACTCCCTTCCACTGCCGCTTGGCTCCACATGCGTTCAGCAGCTGGGGGGCACAGTGACAGGGGAAGGCGGGACGTGGGGGCACAGTGACAGGGGAAGGCAGGACGTGGGGGCACAGTGACAGGGGAAGGCGGGACGTGGGGGGCACAGTGACAGAGGAAGGCAGGCGGGACGTGGGAGAATGACAAGCGTGGGAGGGAAGAGCGGATGAAGGGTGCGGCCACCCATGACGTCTGGAGCTCGCAAGGGCAGGAAGGGCGGGAACGGTGGGAAGGGCGGGAAGGGCAGGAAGGGCGGGAAGGGCGGGAGGGCGGGAAGGGCGGGAAGGGCAGGAAGGGCGGGAAGGGCGGGAGGGGCGGGAGGGGAGGGGCGGAAGGGCAGGAAGGGCAGGAAGGGCAGGAAGGGCGGGAAAGGCAGGAAGGGCAGGAAGGGCGGGAGGGGCGGGAAGGGCAATGCTTACTGCGTTGTAGACCACCACATCTGGAGCCAGCCAGCTGCTCCTGCTGTTGCTGCTGCTGCCTTGGTTACGAGGCCTGTCACTAGGGCCATTCGCAGCCCTGCTGTTACCATCACCATCATCCCCATCTCCGCCGCTGCCAACAGTTTCAAGTGGTTCTGCGCGATTGGTGCGAGCGGGCCCCTCCCTGAGCTCCTGCATCATCTGCTCTGCTCCTCACGCAGTGGCGTGCAGGACAAGGGAAAAGATGAGGAGGGAAGGAGGGAGGGACAGGCACGGCTCAAGGTTAGGGACAGCCCGGCTTGGAACAAGGGAGACAAAAGAAAGGGCCAAGAGGAGGTAAAAAATGAGTGTGCCGAACATAGATAGTGCTGGGGATGACAAAGCTCGCATTCCCCACGCCCATCCCCTCCCCGCCCAACCCCTCCCCGTCCCCGCCCTTCCCTCCCTGCCCATCCCCTCCCCGCCCATCCCCTCCCCGCCCATCCCCTCCCCGCCCATCCCCTCCCCGCCCATCCCCTCCCCGCCCATCCACTCCCCGCCCATCCTCTCCCCGCCCATCCTCTCCCCGCCCACCTGCAGCAGCTCCTGCAGATATCCCGCCCTTCCCAACGCCACTGCTGCAGCCCTATAGGCTGGGAGGTCAGGCCACGTGGCTGGCTGCGACTGGAGGAGAGACAGGAGGGAGTGGAGGCGTTAGGTGACAAATGGATATGAAGTGCGGGTGAGACGAGGGGGAGTGAAGCAGAAAACGGATGGCAAAGAGGGGTCGGGGAAAAGGGAAGTAACAGAGGGATAAGGGGCAATGGGCGATCGAGCAATGCACGGGAGAAGGGGATTATTTTTTAGGCGCCTCAAAAATAGACCCCTCACGGGAGAAGGGGATGGAACAAAGGCGAAGAGACGACCATCAAGCAGCCAGGGAGCATGTAACACCACCATGTGCATGACTTGCAGCACGGCACGCACCATCATCATTCTCATCACTTGCAGCACAGCATCGGGGTAGCGCCAGCCCAGAGCAGCGATGAGCGAGGTGAGCACCTTCCTGCAGGGGTGGGGGACACAGGAAGTGGAGAGGGTGGTAATTTGAGCCGACTAAAAGGCATCGGGCAGTGCCTGCCAGCCCAGAGAAGTGATGAGCGAGGTAAGCACCTTCCTGCAGAGGGGAGAAACACACAGGTAAGGAGGCGGGAAGGGCAAAGGACACAGGAAATTGGAAGTCAAGACACAAAGGAGAGCAGCGATGAGAGGGGTTGGTGGGAAGGATGTGGTGAAAAGGTGAAGCAAGCATCGAGGAGACGGCTACAGAGTCGACTCAAGAGAAAATAGGGGAAGGGAGCATCGAGGTGAAGGCCCGGGAAGGAGTAACTGAGATGACGTGTCAGCTGGATTGGTCTCAGCCATTAGTCTGACCTGTCGACGCGTGATTGGTCGCGGCGAGCAGCCCAGTGCACGAGCAGCAGCGCCCTCCGCCAGCTGCCTTTGCTGGCGAGCAGCCGCGCTGCCAGCGCCACACGGCGGGGGGAGAGACGCACCCCTGCGCTGCGCACTGCCCTGGACACGTGGCGCGGGGAGGCGGACAGGGGAGTGCCCTCCAGCCTGGCAAAGGGGGGGCCGGGTGGGGGGGGAGGGGGGGGGAAAGGAAGGGTGAATTGGCAATTTGGTCCATCCTCACACACACACAGCAGCACCATCATCACTCCACCAGTTGCTGCAGCAGTCGCTCCTTCTCCAGCCCTGGGCCCACGTCACGGGTGACTCATGACTCAGGGGTGACTTGAGAGCCGACTCCAAAGCCAGAGCTCACCTCTAAACCAGCCGCTGCAGCAGTCGCTGCTCCTCGTCCGCCCCCAGGTGCTCGTCTGAAGCGCTTTTCGCGGCTCCCTAAAGCTCACCTCTCCACCAGTCGCTGGAGCAGTCGCTCCTCCTCCAACCCCCAGCCCTCCCTCGCCTCCACGTCGATCGCCTCTGTGTCATATGCATCGTCAGCATTCCATTCGTTAAAGTCATCCTCGCGACGGTTCGTCCGACCGAATTGCCTGGAAGCCTGATGTGCGATTGCAAGTTAGCACGGGTAGACACGAATCAGGACACCCACAGCAAAAACTGAGTCGCGAGCTTCACAGGATGCGAGGGTTACTGATTCCTGTCAAAACCCACGCCAAGAACTGAGACGCGAGCTACGTAGTCGAATTTGATCACAGGAAAGTTCCTGGCATGCGAGGGTTTCTAACGAATTCAGGGTTTTGCGCGCACGCAGACGAGGAAGGAAGGAAAACGATTTCCCGAGGCTACATGCGGCTTCGACCGATAGTTACTTCGACCGGCTATGGTGAAACTCACCCCCTTGGCAGGTAAAGCGCGACCAACTCCTTGGAATCTGTTTATCTGGCTCCTCTGGAACCCGATCCGATTTCTTCTGGTCGCGACGACTGATCCCCTCCAACTGACACCGCTATTGTCTTTCCCCCATGGACCGGACGGAGTAATGGTGTCCAAGCAACCGAGACGCACTCGACTTCTCGCGTTCGAATTCTTGTGGAAATTTGTGGGGTTTTTGCTGCTACAACCTGCTGCTTTAGGGAAATGAGGGAATATATGCAGTGCACTGCAGGCACTCGGTTTCTGTGCAACACTAGGCAGAGGAGCCATGGCGAGGCGCGCAGGGGGATGGGATGAAGTGAAACCGCTCGGCAAGGGTGCACAACAATGGGCAGTCACGCGAACCGGCTCTTCTGGCTAGTCTCATATGTTAAACTAATATGATGAGCTTTCTCAGAGCTGCATAAAATTGGGAGCCGTAACCAAACCGGAAACTGGGATGGAAATTTCCCAACCTTCCAGGTGTGGGCTTGTAACGAAACGGAATTCAGACGTGGTTGTGGCCTGAAAGGTCCTGCGGCAGCGCAGCGCTGTAGGGGACCACAACATTATCAAATTCTCGTTCATTCCGAACAGGGTGCTACCTGGTTTGGCATGTTAACGCGCGGTGCTGTGCGCTAACCTCTGGTAAGTTCTGTGTTTTTATTGGACGACAAGCGTCATTACAAGCGGTTAGGCTTCCACTGTACCTCGAAAACACCATTTTCCCAGCCTACCCTTTCGGTCCGGGAATACCCTGCGGAGATTTTTGGTCTGGTTTAGCACGCCCTTTCGACGCTAGTGGACCTGCTGACCTGTCGTCGGCTGGACTTTCTCCACGTGAGGTTGAGACTTTCGGGCATGTGGGTGACGGAGCGACACGCAGGTCTGCCACTTTTCAAGGACATTTCCACGGCGAATAGACCTCCGCCAATACGCGCCGCGAGTCCCATCCCACAGATTGGCGGCGACCAGATTTCAGCGCTGATGCGCTGGCATTTCAGGCCAGGTGGCACCTAGAGAACCGGGTAACCTACTAAAGCAGGAGATATCGAGGGCGCCGAAACACTTTCCCAAGCCAGTGATGGTTCGGGTGAGGCAACGAACCTTGTCCCGCTTGTGATGCGCTTCGCGTCATTCCCAAGGGGTGTCCCCTCCGCTGGTTGAAAAGCCCTGCTCGAGCCAGCTTGCAGTTTCATTTTCTCTTCATTTCCCTCCGACCAAATTCCTTCTCCAGCAGTTGTTGCAGCCTTGTCCTAGAGTTTGTCTCCAGATTTTTCCTAGGCTTGGTGAATTCTTGGCACTCCCCAAGCCAGGCTAACCAGCCAGCCTTCCCTGCATCTCATTCTCACATTCTGCATCTGGCTTTTGCCGCCAGAAACCAAGCCAGCCGCCACCCACCAACCTCGAGTTTCACAACGAAGAAACTTGTTCCAGTTTAGCACGCAAGCACAAACCTGGACTCGCTGCTCCGTGCTCCCTTCAACCTCCACTCTGCTTCTACTCTAAATCGTCTACAATCTGAAAGCGTTCTGCGTTGTCAGCTTTTCGCTGCCTCGCCAAGCAAGTGACGTAGATCTGCTTTTTTGTTCCCCTTGGCATGGAGGCTCTTCACTCCTGTCCTACGGCTTCAGGCGCCTCGTCGCTAAGCCTGACGCAATCATGCGGCACGGCCAGACTATTTTCCTCCCCAAACTCGATGCAGCCTCTCCGGCTCACGCCGAAAGTTCCCGTCATTGTTTCCTCGTCTGCTTTCACGACCCGGTATTCCGGAGCCTCAGATCCGTCGCACCGCAGCCGTGCACAGGCCGTTCGTGCGAATGGCATCGGTCCCAACAGCTCGCAGACACCGGCGTGCGAATTCGGCCCGTGGAATCCGCAAATCGGCTCGCAAGTCGCTTCTGACCCGTCCGCCGCTTACGTCGACGAATCCTTTGAAATCGACCTGGCGGAATCGTCGGATTCAGATAACGTCCCGGCTGACGATGTCGGTAACGGAGCTCCGTCAGCGTCAGTAAAGACCCGGAGCCCTGCTGACGAGTACATGTCGGATGTGGAGGAAGTGGACGACGGAAGCGTGACGGCGTCGGGGTTTTCGGAGATGGAGGAGGCTGGCGTGGGGAGCTGGGAGCACAGAATGAAAGCCCTGGAGAGCTTGGCGGAGGGGCTCATGCCGCCGTGGGAGCAGGAGGGTCTGATGAAGGACGTGTCGGGGCTGAGCGTTGACGCGCTGGTGTCTGCCGATGCCGTGTACAACAAAGAGCTGAGGTGCGGTTGCGCGGCCGGTAGGCTTCGTTGAGTGGTGCATTTATGTCCTCTTATGTTCGGAGCTTCCTTTCAGCCGGTTCTCTGCCCTTTTTTGTCCCCATTTTAAGATTGTGCTTTACCTAGATTCGGTCCTGGACATGTGTATGGCTGTGTGTACCTTGTGTCTCAGTGGGTGTGTCCCTTCGGTCCCTCTGTCCCTACTCCCTGCGTCCTTATCGATGGTTTCGCAGCTGGTTGGCGTTCAACTGGCGCGTGCTCTACCAGGCGCTCGACAAGCGCACGCCGCTCATGGAGGTAAGTCGCCGCTCTTTTCGCCGCCGCACCAGCTAGGCTAGGTCAGCGGTGTCCTCTTTAAGATCTAGGTTTTGTAGGCTATATCTGACGATGCGTCTGCTTACCCATTCCTACCTGGTCTTCACTTGCTGCGGAGCTTTTGGTTTCTGGCCAACACGGCGCACAACCTGGACGAGGTTAACCACCGAGTCTTCCCCATCTCGGCTATCCCCATCTCATCGCAATCTCCCCCTCCCCCTGGGCCTTCGGTTCCTGGCGATCACGGCGCGCAACCTGGACGAATTCTAGCCGCTTACCCGCGTTCCCACCGCTTGCTTTTCCCCATCCCACCGCAATTTCCTCCTCCGCCAGCGCCTTCGCTCCCTGGCCATCGCGGTGCCCAATCTGGAAGAGTTCGAGCTGCCGTTTACCCCATCCCCTCTGTTTTTCCCCATCCCTTCCCCGCGCCCCCCCTCACCCAGCGCCTGCGCTTCCTGGCCATCACGGCGCGCAACCTGGACGAGTTTTTCTGCAAGCGCGTGGGCGCGCTGAAGCGGCAGCAGGCGGCGGGCATGGCGAACCTCATCGGCCACCGCAGCAGCTGGCTCTGGACGCCCAGCCAGTCGCTCAAGATCGTCGCCAGGTGAGAAAACCTGGAGCTACTGCAGCTTCGTCGCCTCGAAGCAGTTGGTTTGGGCTTTGGATCTGCGTCGCCAGGTGATAAGCGTGCCAAGCACTCGGGATTGTCGCGTTGTTTCTCTTCTGGGCTTGTGCGTGGCGGAAGAGTCAGACAATAGCTGGGACTGGGTACGCAGCCCAGTGTTAACATTCGTGCATCAAATGTGAAACACTCGAAAACGGGTTGCGCGAATTGTCCGGAAAACGGATCCCAGCATTCAGAAATTTCCCCAAATTCGCCAACTTAATCACTTTGAAAACTTTGACAAGTAGAGTCCGCCTGTTTTTAGTGCAGCTAGCGCTGGGCGTCCAGCAAGTGACATTGACGCTGGCATTGACGCCGAATAAGAAGCGAAGCTGCATCTCTGATGCTCGTTAAAACCCGCGGCTCCTTGATCCAGCTTCCGCGCGCAGTTTATCACACTTTCAGCCAAAGCTTGGCGGTTTCTGATTTGTCGACTTGTTTGCCTGTGCTTGTTGTGCGCTGGCGTTGTGTTGTTTTGTGTTGGTTGGTGTGTGCGCGTGATGGCTTGCTTGGTGTGTTGCGCGTGATGGCCTTCTTGCTTGCGTGCTTGGTGCGCTGCAGGGAGGTGGAGCAGCTGGTGCAGATGCAGCTGCAGTGCCTGCAGCAGGACCTGCTGCCATCACTGCGCAAGCACGGCATCAGCCTCGTGCACTGGGACGAGCTCGACACGCCCGCCAAGGACAAGGTGGGGTTCTCAGGAAGAGCAGGATGGCGGCGGGGGGATGAGGGTCGCTGGTTGGGCACGGGGAAGGATGGGGTTTAGTCAACGGCGGAACGTGACGCGTGTTGGAGCGGGGAAGGTAGGGCTTAGCAGGGGGGAAACTTGCGGTCTAAGAGGGGTAAGATTAGGGTCAGGGGATCACTTGCCAACCCTACCCTCCCTTCCACTCTCTCCCGCTTTTCTTCTCTACGTTATCCACCACAAGCTGTGCATGTGCTTGACATCATGACTGAAACCCATCAACTCCCGGCCACCGCCCTCCCCCTGCGCCCTCTTCCCTCCCCCCCCCCCACACCCCTGCCGCGTCCTGTTCCCTCCCCCCTCCCTCCCCGTTCCGCTCCCCCTTCTCCCCCTCGCTAACGCGGTCATCAGCTGCGCGCGTACTACAGGGCGTGGCTGGAGCCCATCATCACGCCTCTGGCGGTGGATCCCGGCCATCCCTTCCCCTTCATCGGCAACATGTCCCTCGGCATCGCTGTGGTACGCACCTCTTTCCCTTCGCCTCCTTTTGAGTCGACTAAAAAAAGTCACGTTATCGGCAACATGTCCCTCGGCATCGCTGTCGTACGCACCTCTTTCCCTTCGCCTCCTTTTGAGTCGACTACAAAAAGTCACCTTATCGGCAACATGTCCCTCGGCATCGCTGTGGTACGCACCTCTTTCCCTTCGCCTCCTTTTGAGTCGACTAAAAAAAGTCACCTAATCGGCAACATGTCCCTCGGCATCGCTAAGGTCCGCACCTCTTTCCCTTCGCCTCCTCCTTCCAGCGACTTGTTCCCGCTTGCCTCGCATTCTTCTCCCCCTTCGCCCTCCCCGCCCCCAGTGGACGACGACCATGAAATTGCTGACCCAAGCATTGCCCCTTGCACCTCCAAAACCCCCATTCCCCTCCTCCCCGGCCTTCCCCCTCGCGTTACCACGTGTTGCATCGCCTGTTTGCCATCCAAGCCCTCTCCCTTGCCCCTGCATATTCGCCGTCTCATGCCCGAGCTCTTGTTCCCTCGTCTAATCATCTCTTGCAGGCGCTGAGGGACCCAGTGGACGACGACCATGAGTTTGCCATTGTCTCTGTGCCAAACACCTGCAACCGCTGGCATCCCCTCGTGCGCCCCAATGAAGAGTGAGTAGGCTCCCATCGAATTCCGTCCCCCCCTCTCTCCCCACCGCCAACCTCCGCCCCCTCCCTTTTTCAAGAGCCGTCTGTTCTTCTCCTTCGTCACGCCAACCGCTCTATCGCGTTCGTTCACATCAGTTGAGGAGATTATGGACGCTCTCCGCCTGTTCTTCAAGGCAAATTCCCGGCAATCCGTCATCGTAGCCATCTCCCCCCTCGCTCTCACGTTGCTCCTGCATTGCATTCGTGACCACTCAGGGGCAGCAACGAGGAGCGCAACGCGTTGATCTCAGTGGA